AAGAACGTCGTAAACATTTCACAGCGTCTACAATAATTCTTTTTCTTCTCAGAATTGACGGTCATGTAGTTTACGCGATTTGCACTTTCTCGAATGTTTTTTTTTTCAAATTATGCTGTTATTTTTTTAATATAATGGGAGAAAGCGCGCTACTTCTACGATATGTACTGCATATTTGTATAATCTTCCCGAGCAATCTCGATGTGTTTTCAACGTCGATCCTTTTCGCTACGGCAATTCCCGGAACACTCTTAATGCGACAAAACGCAACTTAACCACTTGTAAGAGCATGAAAGGCGAAATTGCCACAATCTACGTGGCGCAAAGTCGTGTATATATAACGAGAGAGAAAGAAAGAGAGAGACTCGAACGTCGTCGCGCTCGCAATGATGACACGTAACTCTTCTGCGCGGATCCCCCCCATTTCGAGCTGGAAAAAGCTACAATTCGTGGAAACTAAGAGACCGATAAAGCAATGCACCTGCTCGCGATGCGTGCCGCATAATTCGACATTATCCGCATGCGAGGCGCCAGTTTCGCTGGCGAGTACGTTCAAAGGAACGCGAAAAGTGCGTTTCTTTTGCGATTCGAAGTGTTTTTCGCAATGAGAAGTGTAACGTCGATGCAACGAGCGCAAATCAACGGAGAGGGGAGAAAAATCGTCTATAAGAAACGGCGGCGCGTATCCCCTCGGCGGGGATTGTGCGCATGAGTATCGAATAATTCCGCTTCGCCGATACGTTTTTGCTCGGTCCCTGACATTTTCATTAAGAGCCGTCCTCTTAGAATCCTCATGGTTATTTATAGGATGATCAATGAGTCTCGAGGCACGCCGATTCTTCTCGGAGAGAAAGGGGAGAAAGAGAGAGAAAGAGAGAAAGAAAGATAAAGAGAGAACTCGAGCGCCTGTACTGTATTTAATTATTGGAAGCTCGATACGTATACTGGAGACTTTAATGACCGTGTGCGTTGCGCGATGCGCCGCCGCGCGAGCGACTTCTTTATTGTTTTTAATTATAAAATCTCAGAATAAATTACCGACTGTGTAAAAGAAATGTAATACCAATCTTCAGCGAAAAGAAATTGCCGTGACGTGTAACAAGAGGCGCGGAATAACCTGCGTTTAACTTGATTTATACGCGTGTAAAATTCACCCTTCAAGGTATTAGTTTCCTAAGCGCAAATAACAGAAAACCGTAATTAAAATATCGACTTGTCGACTTCGCTTTGTATATCCGTCCGTCACTTAAGTTGCGCAATTTCGCGTTCAAACGTAAGCGACCGATCTCGAAGTTCGTTTCGGTGCGCATAATAATCAGCTTGAAATAACAAATGACGATGCGCACGTGAAGGCAATCCAGCGCAACGATTACCGCTACCTGACTTTAATTAGACGGGACTACAGTCGCGGAGAGAACCAGAGATATCCTTCATTTCATTTCATCTCGTAGGTGTCTCTCGGGATATATCCCCGAAGTCACGGAACGTTTTGCGTGAGAGATCCCCGATCGTGAGAGATCAGATGGCGCGCTTCGATAATGATGGAAACAATGCGCCGTTAATTCGCGAATTAATTCGCCGTGTCGCGAAACAGTCATAAAACGACGACGATAAGCCGACGATCGTTTCGTCCGGCCTGTCGTTCATTGATCGCGTGACAGTCGCTCCACGCGACGAGTAAATCGATCGGCGATACTCCGCTCGCTTAATGGCGAGACACGCATGCGGAAGAAAGGCCTGGAAAAATTAAGGTTTAAACCGCCGCCGGTTTTTCCATGTCATTACGATGCCGATCTGCCATATTATATTTTTAGTCACCGCGGAGAGAGATTCCAATTAGCTTCTTTCTTCATCACACGCATGTGATGCTCGCGCGCGCGCGCCTTATAAGCAGGCGTAGGATGAGCGCCATATACGGACCGGGATATCTCCACGGCGGGGAGCAAAGGCGGCTGACCTTCGGAAGGTCATCCGTCTTGCAGCGCGATGTACGATATGCTTCCGTGTATGCAGCCGTGGTAGCCGATACAGACCCGATGATGCTTGGTAAGGAATATTGACCCCGCGCGCGCGCGGCGAATTAAATCGTCGTAACTTAACAAAGCGCGACGGACGGGACGATAGAAATAATTAGCCGGTAGTGCCAATTTAAAAATTCACCAGTAACGACTGCATTAAATCTCTCGCAAATCGATTCCCGCGATCTCAAAGCAGCGATACGCCGGAGCGAGAAAGAGAGAAAGGTGAATGGCGACACGACGCGTTTGCATTCGCGAAAAATCGCGATCGCTAGCCGGAAACTGAGATCATCGTTGTCGATTAGTTATTCGTAGCGTCGCGTCGTTTGTTTGTTGGTTTTTTTTTTCTTTTTTCATTCACGTGTGTGCGTACAGGAGAAAATGACAGTCACGCGTCAACTGTAAATGCAAGGCGCATCGCGCTAAAGATAGAACGCGCAATGTTGGCTCGATGATGAAATTCAAAACGTCTATGTGGATCTATGACGGAGCGAATATGTACTCCTCTCGACCCTTGACACGGGCCGGCATTGAGCGAAAAGATATTAATGGCGCTCTCCGCGCGAGGAGAAGACAATGAGACGCTCGGTGCCTCGTCGCTGTAATCAGCATTTCTCGAGTCAATAATCATACCGCGACAGAACGACAATTACGAAGACAATGACACTCGCGCAACGTTTCTCCTCTAAACACAGACATTAATATTCCCGCGTTCCGGGCTAATTATCAGATGTCCGGGCACTCTCTTAGCCAGGCATGTGAAAGTACAATATAACTTGCTAACGAAGCGCAAAGAGTGCGTATCCAAAAACACGGTAAAAGCTGTTTTTTTTTGTACTTTATTCTAAACGAAGAACACGCGCGTGTTGTTCTTTGACAATAAATTTAAATAGTTGGCAAAAATATAAAATAAATTTATTTCTTAAATTTCTCTCTCTCTCTCTCTCTCTTGAGTCTTTTCGTCACAAAGCAAATAATTATCGATCTTACAGCCAAGAGGACGAGGAGTAAGATAAACAAAAAATATGTGCACGCAAGAGTTGATGATTTGACGTAATCAATTATTATACAATCGATTATTTAACAAAAAAAAAGCCGTCTAATTCTGAGTTTATTGTGAAGTAATTTATTTGCGCGCGAAGGAGGACGGTAGAAACAGTCTGTTCGCGCGCGTCTCAATAATGAAGAAATTAGTTTCGGAACGAATAAGGGTCAGATGTGTGACACACTTTATTCAGGCATACAGTTACAAAAACCACGGTGGCAGAAGAAGTTCAAATTTTTGATTCGCGACGGCGATCATTGTTACGCAATTCCCCGCGTAGCGGTCCATCTCGCGGAATCGCGGAAAGTGGCACGCCATCTGCTCGACGAGCATATGGCAAACATATAGCGTAAGTCATTTAAGCGCCGACGAGAGAAGAGGAGTCGTCCTACCTCGATACCTGTAATAACTCGGTATTAACTGTTATGCGCGTCTTTGTAATTGCCGACTATCTTGTGGACGTTCCGACAACGATGCCGCGGATGCATTACGCCGCGCGAAGGGAACGAACGCGCGACGTATCGGCCGCCGCGGTGAGATATCCGACACGACGAAAAACCGCGCGAGAGAGTGACTATGATCTTGGCATTCCAGTTTGTGGGATCATGAAGGTGTACGAAGGTTACACCGTTACCGGTCACGGGTATCTCGAATTCAACGTGAAATTTCAAATTACGGGTTGTGCCAATGCGCAGTAATTGGTTGCACACGATGCATAATACGCAACCATTAATTACGCGAACAAATATCGGGTCCTTTACCGATTCGATTACCGACTGGATTTGGCGATTTACATTCTTCGAATCAAAATTCCATAAAAAAAAAAACATTTCTAATGGAAAAATTATACTAAAATTTCTGCGGTGTTATCGAAAAAAAAAAGATTATAGTAGCTTAGTTATATGTGTAGCATCTTCTTGATTCTTCGTCGCAAAATAACTCGCTTTTCGGTGTGTCATCCCGTCACACCCAAGATATTCGGAAATTGTGAGGAAACGGAAGTTTCCCGATCGAGGAAAATAATCGACGGGAAGAGAAAGGATGAAAAGACTTGAGATTCCCGGAGCACCCGAGTGTTCCCCGCCTGCGCGATACAGTTTATTTGAACTGGGGATCCCGAAGTGGGGGGAGACACTCGCTCCGCGTTAGCACAACACCGCGTCTCCGCGTTTGTGCGCTTTAGTCGCGCGATCTCGTCCGAGGTGTTGGGGCGGCAGTCCTCGTCGCGCTTCTCTCACACGTACACCTCGATCGATCGATCGAACGGTCGATCGATGGGTCGACCGTGCCGTGTACATCTGATTTCTCGAGATGCGTCGGTCCGCGATCCATCGGAAATTTTCGTCGAGTATCTGAGTATCGAAAATCGCTCATTGGAAATTTAATCGTACAATTGAAATAATAATTGAATTTAACAGAAAGTTCCATGGCTGACTTCGTTCTGAGGTTTACATTAGCATCGTTTCGATATACTTGTATGGTATTGCTCGAAGCGTGGTTTTTTAATGTCTTCTCTTAAAATTATGAATCCTCTGTGTCGCGAATTTCTCTCTCGGACGAGTCTCGACACGTGCATCGATTCTGTTTGCACGCGCGAGTGAAACCAATGTTTTCTTTTTTATACGAATAAACAGTTTTGACAGATACAAACTTTTTGTAAGTTTAGTTTATCAATGAGGTGAGTGAGATAATAACTATATCTACAGTGAATGAAATAAAAGTTGGTTTCGTAGTAGCGCAAACCGTACTCCAAAAATTGTGAAAATAAATGAATGTAGAGAAAATAATAGAGAATATTGAAGATTGTGAAATTTCGAGTGGACTTTTGTCAACAATAATTGTCAACATTTTAAATATTTAAAAATGTTATTGAAATTTTTAGATATTTATAAGAAGGTAATACAAGAAAATCATATATGTATATATAACAGGTATATATAAATTCATACTTTTAATATTGTTTAAAATTTACAACTTAAGTCTCGAATAACGAGAGGGATATATCTCGTAAGCTTGCAAAACCGTTAATTAATAACTACCACTGTTAATTTGCAATATCGAGTTTTGAGTCGCTCACTTACTTTCGCTGTGCGCTAAGAACTAGGTCTTCTCACCGCGGAAGATATTTTTATTGCATCCAAATTATAAAACTATGATTAAAACTCGCTGCTTGGTTCCTAGTATCTAATTAATCATCACATTGTTAGAAAGTTGCGCATAATGCAGAAACTTTCATAAGCTCGATTAAAATCGCTGCCAGTATTACATGCTTGGCGCGGCGCGATAGGTCTTCTGTAGGAAAATTACGTCAGGAACGTCTGCAACAACGGCGCGTGGAAAACAGAAAACATTTCCAGCTTAGAATAGACGCTAATGGGCGAATTGCTAAATCTGCACTTTCACTTCGCACGATCGTATTATGGACTCAAATGCGGCGGAGGTGCTTTTTAAAGTTAAATCCCGCGTGTGAATGCGGGGCTTAATTATCCGATATCGAGCATTTTTCCGACTCGTCGGGGTTTGTAACGCCTTACATTATCCGCTCGGCGGATAAGACGGACATCTTGACGTCTGTCATCTGCACTTGACAAAATGTCATCTTCGAGACAACGTACAATAATAATACGCGGCAGAGTCCACGGAGAGTGAAATCGAAAAGTCTCGAAAAAAGAAACCGTTTCGTCACAGTCACTTGAGTCGCAAGTTCCTTTGAAAGTTTCGGTTCGAGGTGTAATTGCCTGTTGCAAACGTATGCTTGTGGCAAGAGAGGGAGAAAAGCGCGATTTCTCAAAAAGATCGCGCGTACAAACGGAATAGCAAGTACTAACCGCTCGTGTACAAGACGCATACTAACTTCGCGCGAGGAATCTCAAAGACAAGCGCGGCACAAAAAATATGGAAAAATGAAGGTGTATTAAAATGCGTCACAGTCGATTGTCATAATAATACTTCACGATACCTTCTCGTCAGAGTGTTGTCACAGATAATTAAAACCCCCATTATACATGGCGATTACAGAAGTTTCGCACAAAGAAAACGTTCTATCGCAACTAACGAGAGGAATTCCCCAAGAAAGAAAGTTGCGAGTTCACGACTTGAAAAAAACAAAAAAACAAAAAACAAAAATAAAATTATCCTAGTCTCATGTGTATTCATGACCGGAACCGCGGATAATGCCCGGAGTCCTCGCGCATCGTATTTTACATATGTGGAATATTAATTCTCGTCATTCGTATGCGATGTACGCAATATCGCCGCGAACGCGCGCGCGTACCGGTGGAATGTCACACAGGTGCAAGTCACTCAAGAAAGTGCATTATGGACTGTGCGTGTATATATGTGACGGCGTGCATAAATAAATTATGTTTCACGTCGCTCTCGGAGCTGCTAACAGACACAAATCATCGTTCCTAATTACGTGAAAATCCTGGGAATGTTGGACTGGAAGGTGAATCGGATTAGAGATTAAAAAAAAAAACAAAAAACAAAAAAAAACACTTGCTATTCAGGGAAAGTATATACATGACGATCGAACGTAAAGAAAACAACATTGTAGTGTGTGTGGCCAGTAAAATGAATTCCTACGATAAATCGACGTGATCATTTTTATTTGCAACTAATTAACAAAACAATGCTAATTAAAATACGTAATTGCGAAATATAACAATGTTTATCTACTATAAGTATGTAAAAAAATTAAACTTACCAAATTCGGGAAATAAATCTTTAGCGCATTTTGTTGTTACGATCAATTCTGCGTCGATTTATTTATTTATATGCAAAATATATAAACAAAACAAAAATAAATCAGGCAGTAGTGAATAAAGAGAACATCTTTTCGGACGAACATTTTTCCATCACAAGGATTATCTCATCAATTAAAAGTAAATCTAATTCCACGTTTAGGCATTAAATCATAAGTATGGAAAAACGGTTTTTTGGCACAAAGACAAGTGCCTAGACCGGGGGGATTTGAGCCGGAGCCTTTCCGGTCGTTATTCTTAAACACTTCAAGCCTCCCGCGAGTTATGTAATATTTATTTGCTTATATATACACACACACACACGCTCGTATACGTATATATTTTATAACCAGCAGTTAGAACAAGCAGTTTGCGGTGTGTTGCTCTTTGTCTTCTTCGCTACCGCGCGCGACATCGTATTTTTGTCGTAGTAACTTCAAAGGCGAAAGGCGACATTTCGCAAGTAACAGAGCGTGCCGCTTCACCATTCCACCCACGTTTTCCCGCACATAGAGCCAGTCGCTCATCTGAAAGACAAACACCGGTGGCGACACACTGGTATGCTACGGGAGATAATCATCGTCATAAATTCATCATCATCACCATCATCGTCAAGACGCCCCAAGCATAATCACTCATTAGTTCGCGCGACTCGCCGCTAGCACGTCACTGTCAAGGCTGCCTCGTGGAATGACGAATTTCATCAGACGGGTGGTTGAAGTAATGAACAGGGAAAAAATGCATTTTGTGATCCGACATTGTTGAATGCATATCATTATGCGGGAAAAAAAGACAGCTGGTTGTGAGCTACGTCAACATAAGAATCGTTTTGAACAAATAAAATTTGATAGAGATTATAAATTTGCTTTAGTTCATAAAAATATTTGGTTTGTTTAATTTATACAAATGTTACAAACAGATTTCTGGAGTAGATATTTCTAAAATTTTTTTTATACAGGGCGCAATAATATAAAAAGACGAATGTAAAAGAGAGACTGTGACTGGATTTGATGTAAGATACTGTGAAAAACTGTGCCGCGATGTCGTCGAGTGGTGAATTTTCGACATTGTCGAGCGGCGAGGCCACCGGAACCGGCGAGGATTCGTTGCCGAGCTCGAGGGAAGCGACCGCCGAGGTCGCGGGTTCCGGCGGTGGTTTCATGCCGCTGCGCGAGTTCCTGGACAGATTTTCTCTGCCGAGGGTGGTCAGGGTCGAAGGTGCCGGTGGAAGGCCGATACTTCTGTATAAGCAACAACAGAGATCGCTCAGAGTCACGGCTACGCTGCTGATGCATCGTTACCGTCACGACGTCAAAGTGGGACCGGAAATAGTCATCCCGGAAGGCTATCCTGGTGAGTGCAACTTCAGATGTGTACTATATTGTACTATAAATACGTGCTTTGTAAACACATTCAACAAGAGATAAAATATTTAACGGAGATTAATTTTTTTCCTTTTCTTAAAAGTAGCTACACTTAATAACAATGTTTTTTTTTTTTAATTATATTTCCTTATTCAAAAGAGAAAAAATTACTCGATTGCAAAATGCTGTTTCTAAAGAAATTATTTTTTCAACAAAATTTTCTATGAATTTTATTTAATTTATCGATAATGTAGAAAGCGTTTTTATATGTTTGTACAAAAATTAATATACAAGTGTAAGAGATGTAATAAATGAATAGCAAATCGCGCGCGCACGAGGGTCCTATATACGGAATTAACTACCCGTCACATTCCGGCCTTTAGGTCGACGTATCGATCACGTCGCGTACGATGATCGATTGTGCTCGCGGAATTGTGTATCGGAAACTCGATCTAGAATTAAAACGATTGCGGCCTGTTGTATAAGAGCATACGCAGCGTTACAATCGACGAATTGAATTGGAAAGAGATTTTTTTCACGAGAGAGGCGAGAGATATTTTTAATATTTTTTTTTTCCAATCAAAAAATCTAAAAATATTATTTATGACAATAAATAATATCTTTCATTTGACACGTATGCCAATTTATTTGTTTACGGTTTGGCGATCGAAGGATAGCAACGTGAGCTGAGCGCACACGAGAGAGATCGTATTTTCTATTATTTATTATTTTACCTCGAACACCGCTTACGAAATCAGTGAGGTTTTCACGAGGAGGCGAACTGTTAACACGCGCGTTTATTTATCCACGCCTCGTCGCGTACATATGTAACCGAGTTGTAGTGGGCACGTTGGTGATTTAACTCGAGTTTGCAGAAAGAAAGTAGACAGATTGTTGTAGGTGGCGGCGACTCAACAATGAAAACGCGCGTTTACATTTCGCGCGACAGAAAACGACGCAAACTGTGTCTGCGAGTTCGCCGATCAATTATTGCACGGCAAAAACGTGACGTGAAGTTTCGAAAAAAAACCTCATTATAAAATATATATATTTTTTTTCTCGAGAGAAAGTACGCAAGTTAAGAGAGAAAGTGAGGAAACGAAGAAATTAAAAAACCACATTTTAAACTGAATATTTCTCTCCCGATGAACTTTAATGACGAACTAAATATGAAACTCTCTTTGCGCTTGTGTGGAGAGAAAGAGAGAGAGATAATTATCTTTAATTTCACATCCATCAGTTCGCGTACGGTTTTTCTTTTTTTATATATCGTAATATACAAAATCGCGATATACATTACGTTTGATGCAAGGTGCAACGACGATGTAATACGTCGTGATGTAGCAAGGACCATTCGCGTCGGGTATTACTCAACGCGCACACGAAACACGGGCCTCGCGTAATCTGCATAGGAGAACGTTTCAATTTTCCCGGCGCGCGGCGTATCCACATACGTACGTTGTTGCATCTGCCACAATCGGCAACAACGATTTCTCACGGCCGTAATTGTGAGCATGTTAGGCGTGCACTCACGGCGCCGGTTCGTAGCTCTCACTGAGCAAGAAGTAGGAACGAACGAGCGAAGCGCGAGCGCGTCGGCCTATAAATAGTGAAGGAAAGTATGAGGTAACGCGGTAGAGCGTGCCGCGAATTATAATTTAATATCGTCCTGGCTCGCAACACACACACACACATAGTATGTTTGCAAGAAGCATCTGCGCGTTTATTGACCATAGAAATGGCGAACGCACGAACAAAACTCGCAACGATTTCTCGTATTAACAAAATCACGTGAACAAAATAGACATCGAAGGAGAGAGAGAGAGAGAGAGAAAGGAAAATGTGTTCGACTACTGAGATCTACTATACAAGGAGATATAAAAAGGAAAAAATCAAGGAAAGGACGCGTGATAGAAGAAACCGCGCGAAGGATATTGTTATTCAGTTACAACAGGCGCGAGTAGGTGGTCAGTGACATACGCGCGGCCGTAAATAATATCTATTAACATAATGGCTGACAATATGTTTTTCCATGAAGTTCCGTAAATTGCTCCGTGAATTGCGTTGACGTCGAATTGACGTAGGACGGAATTATGTTGACGAGTGGGACAACGACTTTTTACGCGGGATTGACGAAAATTGAAAACTCCGTAAAAAAAAAAAAAAAAGATTTGCCGCATCGTTAATTTCTGCTTGTTTCACGCCAGAATCACGAGATTTGCATATTTCAAAAAACAAAAAAATAGTAATCTTCTATATTTTTGTCGTATTTTATCTCGTTTTGTGTGATTCTTCACGCGCGATCGTACGTGTTTGGTCTCAATCGGTCGCTAACGAAGTCCGTTCCTATAATCCCGATGCAACCTTCCCTCCGTGTGTGTGTATGTGTGTGTGTGTGTTGCACGCACCGAACGATCTCGCGATTCATGTCAAGACGTTAGTCAATACAGATGGGCGGATTAATCATCAAGCGACCATGCGAATGCAAACGTGCGAGCGCTTGATCGCGCGCGCGTATTACACGAAATTATAATTAGGTGAGAATAATTTTTTTCTCGAGAACTTAACGTGTAGTACACACACAGAGTAGTATGACTGCGAAACAAGATAATCTCCCGTGTAAAGAAAACGCTGGAGAAAACTTTTTTTGTTTTGCAAGACTTAATGTATTACTGATTTTTTTTTATCTCTGGCCGCGTCTGTAGGACAAAAATATATAGGTAGTTATTCTCGAGCGTGTGGTTTATTCCGCGCGTGTGATATCATGCGCAACAACGTGCTGTTACGATTAGTTTCAATGTTTCCGCCTAGCGCGCGGCTCAGAGCATATAACGCATTGACCCTTTCCCGTATACGTTTTTACTCGAGCGCGCGCACGTCGAATGTCGTCTCCCGCGCGTGTTAAACTTTTTTTTTTTTCTACGTAACTTCGCGTTTTGCATCGCGCGAGGGAAAATAATCTCGCCGTCACTGTTAATCGATAATGAGTGTTTGTACGCATGGGAGAAGACACACACACACACACACACACACACACACACCGACGGGAAGGTAAGCGAGAGGCGGTGTGAGCTGGGAGCCGAGGGATTATACGTTTAATCTCGCGCCACCGGCTTTAAGTTCAACACTACGCCTCCTGCATTCGTCGAGGCGAGCGTTCTTCTGTTATTATTGAAATTTACACAAGCGGGATAGCCGCGTGATGTTGCCGCAACATCTGGTATTACTTGGCGCAACTTTATTAGCGCTTTTTGAGAGGAGAGGATTTCCGCGAGGAGGAGAAACGCGCCACGACTGGGACCTCTTTGACCCTTCGCTCAAGGATCGTTTTCTTTCACGTCGCGCCGGATCGAGTTGTCTATCAGCTGTGCTCATAGACCTCGGGTTTATGCGCTCTTCGGGATTTGTCGGGAAGGAGGAAAAGAGAGACGCGCGCGCCCGGCACCTTTACAAATACCCCGCGCAAATACGCCGTGAAAGCGCTCTCGTGACTTCGCCGAGAGTGCAGGGAGTGCCGACTTGGAACAAGGAAGAAGAAAAAAAAACTATCAGATCGACTGCGCGCTTCCGGTGGTAATCTGAGCGAAATTACGACGATTTTATCGTAACCAAATCTTGTAGCAACACAACGTTGTTGTACTTTTCTCGCGAAAAATTTGAAGCAGGTTTTCTCTCTTTCTTTCGTTCGCTCGAGCGTCGGGAGCCGCAAGGATTGCATCATCGAGCGATCTCGCGTTATTTTTGCCCGTTATTTTATTAAATCCGATTTCGTCGATCATTCATTTTAAAAATGATTGACAGCAGAAAAAATAGCGAATATAAAACCGCGGTTAAGAATTATGACCTTTACTTCCTACTTCATGTTCGAGCAATCGTAATTATACCTTCAGCTATTCGTGAGGTGTTTGACTGAGAGAGCCCATCTCAATTTATCACACGCACCTTAATCTATTCTTTCAATAAATATTTCTCACGCGAGAGAGAAAGTGTGTGTGTTTGTGTCATTCTCATCACCGTATATGACTACACGTTCGAACGCTTTAGTGACGCGAGCGTAACGAGTTTACTCGGCTCGAAGCTAACACCTCGCATGATAATTAAACGCGTCGCGATAAGAAAGACACATATCCCGTCGTAGAAAATAGTGCAATAGTGCCGCTCGGCGACCATTCGTCACGGTCGGCGATTACACGCGGTCTCGCGCGCAGCCTCGAGCGCGACTTAAGTCACTCGGAGTGTCGGAGTTCAGTAGTGGGTGAAGAGGGAACGTTGAATGTTAAACGTTCTCTCGGACGGAAGTGGCGCGGTTCGCGCGCGCTCTCTCTTTCTCTCTCTCTCTCCGTGCCTTCTCTATGCATAACCCGTTGATTTACGACCAGAAATACGTTGCGCGCTCGCGTCACGCGGATTTTCACGCGGATCATGGGTGCGCGCGTTCTTGTTGTACATCAGCGCTTCGCGGCACCGCTCTCTCTCCGCGCGCGCCTTCCGAGATTTGCATAAATCTCGGAAACGCGCGAGGGAGGCGCGAAATCGAAAGTTCAGCATCGCCGCTCCGCCGGTATTACAACCGCCCCGGGGGGGGGTCGTATTTTTCATGGCGTTTACGATCGCGAGAGCCGCGCCGAGAGAGAATATTCTTCTCAACGTGCGCAAGACGATTGTGTCGGCGCGAGGAAATCGCCGGAACGGCGGCGCGGCCAGCGTGGAAAAGACGCGTTTTACGGCAAATAAATCGAAGCCCTTCCGATTTTATTTCTCGGTGCGCGCGCATACCAGAAACAATCATTTATTAATTTATGCTTCTGCGCTGAAAAAAACTTCACGCGCGTCTTCGCGCTCGCACAATATTCTCTTCCGTATGATTCGAATGTGCTAACTGCGCGTGGCCAATTAATCGTTATTGAACGCGCGCTAATTGCTCTACCGAGTCTATAAAACTCGCGATTTCAAATTTTATCGGAGTATAGTGCTCGGTGCTAAATGTGG